ATAATTTTGATAATCTAGTGATAAGGTTGTTGCACATAACATTTCGAGAATATTTAATACATATATAATTTAAACATGATATAAACGAAAAGGCACTTAATATTAAATTTAAGGGAAAAAAAGAAATATTTATAGTTAAAAAAATACGTTATAGTCAACCAGGAGAAATCCATATGCCGCCCCGCAACATGAGCTTGTTTGTTTTCTCCTGGTTCTAGCCATAACCATCTAGATGGTTATGTTCTAGCAGCCAAAAAAGCTCTTCGAATGATAATGAAATGTCACCTCAACTTTTGCGACTGCGCTGTTAATGGTTTCCACTAATTAGCCACAGACAGCTGGGATAATTCATCTCTGGTCAAAGGGAACGAATATCTCTGCAGCAGTGGTGCTGCTTTCCAATGTTTAGAACAAAAGCTTTCTGTTTTCAGGGAGTTTATCAAAAATTAAAGCTCCATAAAATTGNCAGTGGTGCTGCTTTCCAATGTTTAGACCAAAAACTTTCTGTTTTCAGCTTGAAGGGAGTTTATCAAAAATTAAAACGCCATAAAATTGCAGTTTAATTAAAGTGCCTATCAATGATACTGAATAAAATACACTAATGAATACAACAATTATTAAATCTCTGGTCACATTATATATTATTAATTGTGTATTATTATCAACTATTCGCTGTATTACTTAATACATAACAGTTATCATAAAAGACATTACCAGTAACCATAACCAATAGTAATTAATACCCGTAATATATTTTGAGAATACTGATTATTCATAAGTTGTAGGATAATTTAGGAAGTTCATCTTCTTTATAGATGCAATACAACGGATTCATTTTAATATAAGCTAAATACAATAAGGAAAAATTTTTTTTGTTGTATGAGATTTTTCAGAACGCCAGTTTCAAATCAGCAATCGGATTCTCTCTACAAGCAATTCTTTTTAAATGGACATTTTTAGCAAAATGTACAATTCAAATGTAAAAATAAACAAGGGGTCACATATATGTTGTGACAAACTTCTAAGGGAAATAGGGCACATCATCTGGATAAACATTGCATAGGAACCCATGCCGGGGAAAATCATATTCCGCTTGGAGTGCTACTCTATTATGAACTGTTTCTTTGTATACTTTTGAACAGGTCATAATAGGGAAGTGCCTATGCAATTTTAATCCTGATTATGTATCCTAACTGCCACAGAAAATCATCCTCACATTTACATGACTCCTTATTACATACAATGTCTTAAAAATTGTACATTTTAACAAAAAAAATTAACTAAAAATGTGATTTTAAAAAAATATTTACCTTCAATCGCCAAACTTATTTCAGAGTAAATTCCCACACCCAAATTAGGCAAGATCAAGTATTTGTATTAATGCAACAAAAAATTTTTACCCCAGTGATATTGATATTATTTTATAGTTTAAACTTGCATCGATTTCCCCATAATTTCCTAATGATATCCATGAAAAAATTTCAATACAAGTTTGAATTGTTCAATTTTTTTTTTTTAAATTTGAAGTCTAAATCTCAGTAAATCAAAAATAGTGCATTTTTTTCACAATTTCCTTTTCTGAGAGAAAATATGAAATAAAATTTATTAAGTATAAATATCAAGCATACTTTTTCTAGGGATTTAATTAAAATCAAAGATACACTTTTACACAAGATTCCTTCTTTATACTCTATGCATTTATGAAATACTAGAGCTAAGGTTTTTGAATTTTCAATTTAAAAAGTTCAGCAATCATAAAAATTTTTAAATCTTAAAAATTCATGCTGTTAAATAATACAATATAAAATTATTTATTTAAAAATTTAAAAAAATTATTATGTTAGAAACACAAGTTTAAATTTTCATAAAGTAAAATAGAGTGTAAAAAATTGCCATCACTAAAAGACAAAAAAAATCTGCTAAATACTTTTTAAATTAACATTAAAAACAAACAAAAAGCTAAAACAGAATTGAAAACGTCGATGCTGATGAAATAGAAAAAAAAATCTATTACAATTAAGCAGACAGTGTAAGCTTTTCTTGTTAAATCATTTAATTTTATGCAGTACAATTTAAGAAATAACTTAATTCTTTAGCAACAAACATTTTTCTTAATTTGAAATTACTTTTCAATTTTTCTTCGTAATTCTTTTCTGAGCTTAAATAAAAAAACAATCATAAGAAAATTTAAAATAAAAATTAAGCATTTCATTTTACAAACATTGTGTTAGTATGTCAGGCTTGGGATGTATTCATTATAAATTAGACTTAAAATATTTTACAACTGTTTAAGAATTTGGAAGAGTTTTTAACTTATTCTAAATATTTATTATTCTGATTTATTTGTTTCATAAATAGCAAGTTTTACAAACTGAAACATTGATTTTAACAATAATGTAGGTTTATAACACACTGTAACATAAAAATAGATCTAGGTATTGTGAAAGCAAAAAATTGCTTTTTTCTCGTAATTTAATTTTTTTTTAAATACGTGCAAAGACTGGCATTTGTTAACCAAAGATATTTACTACTATAAGCGCTATTTTTGTATAAAGATTGCCAATTTCAATTCCAATTAAAATATATTAAATGAGTAATGAAACTAATAAATCATATCACTAATAAAAATGTAAAAAGGTTCTAAAAAAATTTGCTATTCTACTTTTGAGTATTAAATAAATATAAAAATTAACATACTATCATATTTAAGATTAGCTTTAAATTATTATAAGCACTTAACTACACACATATATAGAGTTAAATAAAATTAAGAAAATAAAAAAAAAATGTGAAATAATCTTTTCCAAAAACTATGAGAAACGACAAAAAAAACAAGTTTAAAAAAAATTGTTTAAAACCCAAAGAGAGGATGCAACTAATGTAATGCACAAAGCTGGATTGTAAAACCAGACTAGTGAGACTAATCTATATTCTAAGCGGTGTAATCGAATCATCAATGTGTTTTGGGGATCAAACCTATGCTTACACGTTTTAGACTTAAAATTTAAAGTTGAGATTGGATAAATTTAGTTGAATAGAGGAATAAACAAAAGTGTACATTAAAAACTCATTATCATATATTTTAAAAGAAAACTATCCATACTCACCAAAACGAGTTTCAAATACAGGATGCCGTAAGTCACTTTCCATGTAATAAGTAGACTAAAACAAAATACGCATATATTGAAAATATAACATAAAATTGTTGAAATAAAAAAATACCCTTAGCAGGTTAATTACAAATAATAGAGTTGGTAATTAATTTTATTTCATTCGTATTATTGTTTTTAATGTTTTAAACATGATTTAAACTGTCATGGCCAAAATTCTAATCCAAAAATTTATGTCTAAAACTGTCAAAAGCCTTAAATATTAAATATTTGTTATAAGATGAGCATTAGTGCAATTCTTAAGATACTCATGGTGTCAGATGTTGAATTATCATGAATTTTACTATCATAAATTTTATTATCAAAATTACTTTTTGACATAAAAATGAGAGTCTCAAAAATTAGCTCAAATAATAATAACAATCTATGACATATGATATAGGTAATGTTTACAGTAACCATTAAGAGAAAGGAAGTATGCACAAAATAATTTTAACGGATTGTAAGTAGGTATTAAATTGCATATAAAATTAACCTTAATTATACTAAAAATGTAAAGCATTTCAAAATATAATTAACGTCATTCCAGTTAGTTTCATCAATATTAATTAATTTCATACAAGTGTTGTCAATTTTCCTTAAGTAGAATGAATTTTCAAAGCCTGAAAATGACATTTTAATAAATAANTGTTGTCAATTTTCCTTAAGTAGAATGAATTTTCAAAGCCTGAAAATGACATTTTAATAAATAATAATTTGGCATTGAATAATAATCATTAACAATTTTATTTGAATTTTTCAGTTTTTATTATTTCAATATTTCACAATTCAAGAGGATAATATTCAATGATTTTTTAGAGGTTTTGAAAATTGATAATTGGCCATTGTGATTTTTGAAAGATTAAATTTTAAGTTAGCGAATTAAAGTCCTTGTCAGCTTATAAACTTATTAGTGGAACCATTTGTTTATCATCAAATTTACAAGTACAAAATCAATTATGGCATTATTCAATTTGTTTTGTTAACAGATTCATGACAGCAAGAAATCTAAATCAAAACAAAGGCAGGTACTTTATTTACGTCACACAAGAGCTGCACAATGGGCTATTGCAGCTCTTGTGTGAGCTCTTGTGTGAGCTGCACAATGGGAAACATCCCGGAGAATGATCTGAAGACATGCCATCGCAATTTTGATCCTCTGCAGAGTGGATAGCTCCCCTGCTTTGGTAGCCCATCGAACTGTGCAAAGTCAAGCACTTTATGGCAGAACAATTTAAGGAGGACCAATACCTTCACCCTCGGTCCCTAAGCAGGCTGATCAAAGTTGTCACCCACCCGCTTACTGAGCGAAGCCATTCATGCTTGACTTTGGTGTTCTACTGGGAACCGTGTCTTTACAATCAGTCCACTGCAGGACCATCAAATCAAAGAGTGACATAAAACTGTTTAACTGAAAAGTGAAATAAAGCTGTTAAGTCGAAAGGTGCACTACAATGCCTTTCGTCTGCTTTCTATGAAATTGTCCTTTATCAGGTGTTTTATTACGACGCTAGGTTCTTTTCCTCTTGCCCTTATACGTCAAATTATTTTCAACCTCTCTAGACATGCGGTTCAGGGTTTGTCAGAATGCGGAAGGGCCTGATGTCAGGATATGAGGAATTTTCTTCTAATCAAAATAGGGACTAGCTTTCAGTTTTATACCTATTCTGACAGATAAATAGAAAAGGTTCTCTTTGACTTTTACTAGGATTAGCTTCAACTCTTTTAACATTAAATTTTAGCTACTGACTTATTTGAAATTTCCAAAAGAAAGTTAAGTTTTATAAATTTGCACAAATATGAATAACTGAATCCTATTTTACAGTTATGCTCATACTGTAGAGCAAAACTAATATTATTCTGTTCTTATGCAAATTAGTTATACTATTAGTGATCATCCGCTTATAGGAATCAAATGCTTCAGGTATAAATTTAATAAAGTGCCAGACACTGTTTTAAATCACAGAATAAATTTATGATAGCACATTTAATAGTCTTTGACTAAATTTCATATTGAAAAAAATATCTTTTAAATTTAATTTTTTTTTAAAAATATTTCCTTAAAATATGCTTAAATAACATATTTCTAACCAGAATTATATTAAGAAACAAGATAACTTGAATTGTCAAGTTTAAGAATGTAATTTATACAGTCAATTCTTGTGAGATTTCAGAAGGTGACTGAAGTAGTCTAGTTGATTGGAGCATGTAGGACATGCCCGAATCTCTGCTCATAGGAAATATTTGCTAAACATGAAACTATGCATAAATTGAAGCATTTTTTGCTGTTGTTGTAACACAGTGATAATAAAACAACAACAGGCAACTTTTTTTTATAACAACAGACAACTTTTTTCAACTGATAATCTCAAACTATCTACAATTTTTCTTTAATAACATAAATAAGAAAAATATTTTTATTAATTGAAAACTTACTTCACTAAAATGGCCAACACGTGGTATATGATTCTTGCGAGATTTTCCTAAATATGCTCCAGAGCTTGAAATGACAACAGCAGTATTCCATATTGTATCTCCATAAGTTTCATCTCTTTCAAGAATATTAGATACAATAACCATATTGTGTTTTGCAGCTAACTACAAAATATAAAAAAACACAATTAATATATTGAAATAGTTTCTTATTTTGGGATGTTAAATATGTTAACTATAACAACTATATTGTGAAACCACATTAGTCATACTGTTGTGTTATATTAAACTATTTGCCATGCCTCCATGTTGTGATGGAGCAGTGATCAAGTGTAGATGTAGTGACTAAAGATTTTGAAACAATTTGACACAATTGAAAAACAATTTGATTTGCATCTTGAAATTTTTGGAATTTGTTTTCAATTTGAGTAAATTTATATTATTACTTGTTTAAAGATATGTGAGAGTTAGCACGAAGTGGCTGTGGGGAAAAGACGTTCCTTTGTTGGAGTCTGGGACTCTGAGAAATTATTCTTTGGACAGAGTGCGATATTACACTATTCATATGTCAATGTGTTTGCTTCATAAATTATTCATATATTTTTTTCTAATTAGCATCCTATCAGTAAACCTTTATGGAAATTTCATAAATCCTTCGATATTCACCTAATTATTGATGGTTGATTAGTGGAAGAATTTTCAAAAGTGTCATTATGAAAAAAAAAATACTTTTACTACTTATATGTTTATTTTTTTATACCAATTATATACACATGGAGAGGAAAAATAACTTATTTTCAATAGAGTTAAATAAACAAGATAAACTGTTTAAAAATCAAATATGTGTATTGAACATTTAAAAAACATAATACTCATTTCTTTCATAGAACTAAAACCTTTATAAATTACCTCTGCACAAAGGAGGGTCGTAGGACCACTTTCTGCATTTTCAGCAAATTCACACCACGGATATCTTTCTCCAGTGCAAAAGGAAAAGGGCATTGCTATAAAATATTAAACATTGTATCACACTTAGTTTACTACTCAGATAATTTATATTCAGAAAATTACCACATCCACAAAATATTAATATTTTTGACAATAAAATTTTTTAATGTTTATAAATTTTGATTTTTGTAAAAAAAAAATATGTATGCTAGATTATGCATAAGTTTGGTATGTTTTCGTGCTTGACAGTTTCATACTGTTTATAGACATAATCTTTTTTTCCCCACTGACTAACCTTTGCCTTCTATTCTTAGATCATTAAACAAATTTTTGACAATTCAAACCAAACATGCTTATGACACTTGTATCGTCAAAAATGACTTTATGACACCAGAAATATAATCCCAAAACATTAATAACTATGTAGTAGCAGTTTAGTTCAAATTCCTAGTTCATAGGGGTTAGTGGGAGGTAATTTCTTTGTAGAATTAAAGTATTATGGCCGTTTCAGATACATTTCAATTTGGATACAATGTAAGGATATTTATCCCAGAAAAATTAATAAAATCATTTAGACAAAATTGATTTATAATGTAAAACTTAAATTGAACATAGCCACATTCTAAAATTATAAAAATAAAGAAAAGAAGTCCCTCAAAGGAATCAAAAAAATTATTCTCTTCGCGTCAAGAATACTTTGTAAAGATATCTATTTGACGGATCAGGAGGCCGAAGCCTCTGATTCAACTACTAATAATTCAAAATTAAAGTGAATGAATTGTTCCCAGTGGACAGTCATTTGAAGAGATCCATGGTTGGTGATTTATCAGAGACTTGAAATAAAAAATTAGCTGTTAC